ATTTTATTACTAACATTCATTACTACCACATACTTTTTTTAAAATATAATTTATCATCAAGTTAGCTAACATGCAGTGTATATGGTGTGCTCTTGCCTTCGGGAGTAGATTCCCGTGATTCATCGCTTCCATACAACACCCAGTGCTCATCCGGACAAGTTCCCTCCTCCTTTTACTGCTAATGTCTCTGCATGACCGTGTTTCCGTGTTTCCTTGTTTCTTGGTTCCATGTATTATTCCTCCATCAAAAGCATGGCCCTCATGGCTCTCAGACCCTACTGCGGTGACAAATGAATAGACAAGTTACAATACCATAGAAGTCTTGAGCCTTTTGAATCTCAGAGAAGGAAAGCTTCGGGGGTACATGCGAGCTTCCATTGGATCACCTGGCTTTCTGAAAATCACCAGGAAAAAGGGTTTGGTAATGGCTTGGCTTTGAGACCTCCACACCCACTTTATCCCCATTCCCCTCCCACCCACACCTGTAGAGACAGAAAACAATTGTGGGTGATAAAACCTATTACCAACAATGTGACAGGTGATAGCTGATGTGGAACGCAGAGTCATTTTCCCCTGAGAGAACAGTTGAGAACCGGATAGAATCAACCAGCTGAGTCTCTTCAGGTGCTTAACTTTTATGTGAGGGCTCTGGAGTTCAATAATTCATGCTAATGCAGCCAGCAGCAAGCAAATTGCATTCACACTCTATTCAGATTTTGATTATAAAACAGAGACCCAAATGAGTTTTATGATGGAAAAACATACTTGGTGACTTCAGCTGGATGAAAGAGAATGAGGATGATAGAAACACCAGGCCTTGAGGTCAAAAGAGCCTAAGTCAGTCTTGGGGCTGCCACACGCTGGCTATGTGACCTTGCGCGATAACACTGAATGTCTCAGAGCTTCTGTTTCTTCATCAGTACAATGGGGTGACACCACCGACTTCATAGGATTTTGAGATGATGTAAATGACAATACATGAAGAGTGCAGTAAAGCGGTAATGTGAGACAAATTTCTGTGGCCTGCCAGTACCACAATAAACGTTAATTTCCTTCCTTTCTTCACATTCTCTCCCTCTCTCTGCACCCACCCGCCCCACCGACCTTTTTTCAGCAGGAAGTCCGTAGTTCCTATAAGTATGAATGTAGAACTGAGAATGCCAGGGGAGGTTGAAGAGTAAGAAGATGTTAAGAATGGACTGACAGTTCGCTCCCACAAAGATGAAGGTGGTCAGGCAACTAGAACTATCTCAGGGTTTCAACGTACATACATCTTCAAAAAGATGTAAGCACTCTGTGCAATTTCAGTTTTAATATACTTGCTTAGTAGTCATTAAAATATGTAGCCACGAAAAATAAATAAATAAATAAATAAATAAATAAATAAATAAATAAAATATGTAGCCACTTGCACTGGAGTATCTTCCAGAAAAGAAAGAAAAAAGGCAGCTTAGCCATTTACAAAGCCTACATCAAAATTCCATTGCTCCTGTTTTAGTCAGAATAAGATGTAACTCAGACCAGGGCATCAAACTTGGATGCTGGGGAGCTTGATGACAAAGTAACTACTCGAATCGCACTCCAAGAGATTCTGGTCAAATAGATCAGGGATGTGGTCCAGGAGTCTGATACAGGTGAACCACAAACTTCATTTTGAAAAATACTGGCTTGGGCTCTTCGGGACAGACAAACTCAACCTCAGATCCTGAACCCACCACTTCCTACCTTCATGAACTTGGGCAACTTTGTAACTTCTGATACATGGGAGTCTAATCACAGGTTGGCATGAGATTAAATAAGATATATTGAGATATATTGTGGAGTACCGAGCACAACGCCTGGCCCGTAGGAAGGAGCACTCCGTAAATGTTAATTATTGACACTATCATGATTATGCAAAGTCAAAGAAAAGGGCTTCGGTTCTTTCTTTTCTTAATTTTTTTCATTCTTCCTCCCTTTTCTTTTACAAATCCATACTAACAGTGCATTAAGCAAGACGGAAGTTTATTTAGCTTCCAGATGAAAGTCTGGAAGTGAAAGTAGTTCAAGACTTGTGTGACAGCTCTGCAACCCAGACTACTTCCTTCCCTCTTTCAGTGTGACCCTCATCCTCACTGTTCAAGATGGCAGCTGGAACTCCAGGAGTCATGTCTGTATTCCACATGGCAAAGTGGAGGAAAGGAAAGAGAAAATCAATCTCTCTCAGTAACGACACTTCCTAAAATTCGCTTATATCCCATTAGCCAAAACTTAGCTGTCCGGAGAGGCTGGCAAATGTGATCGGCGTTCCAGGTGGCCATGTACCCCCCAAAATGTGATTTACTTTTACAATGGAAAATTGGGAGAAAAAATATGGAGGGACAACTGTTGTTCCCTGCTATACCCAGCCCGGGGAGTCTAACAGATTCAAATCATTCTTCAGAAATCCTCTGCTCTCATTCTGCTTCCACCTGCTTATTTCTCAGATAAGAAACTTCTCCAGAGAGGTAGTTGCATAATCTGTGGATCCTACTCAGCTTGGCTTATTTTCTTCCTAAATTGCTTTCATACCTTTTACTTTTCATTCCCCGGTTTCATTCATTTTATTTCTACTATCCAATTTTTTTCAATTTTCTTTTTTACATAATCTCCATACCCAACATGGGGCTCAAACTCACAACCCAGAGATCAAGAGCCAAATGGTCTATTGTCTAAGCTAGCCAGGCACCCCTCTACTATTCAATTTTAATAGACAATACAATTATTTCATTGTAGAATAGTTAGAAAGCATGGCTAAGCACTTAGAAAAACAATTTTTTAATTTTCAAAAATATCACTGCTTAGAAATAATCACTCTTAAAATGCTGGTCTGGCCATCCAGCATTTTCTCAAGGTAAAAACATACGTATGTGTTTACAAGGAAAGCCTAGTTTTCATTTATAATGAAAACATAACTGTTTTTAACCTCTTCTATTAAATTTAGTATATATCAGGAGTAATTCTCATATAGATTCTCTCATCAATTTTAATGACTGCAGGGTTTTCCACTGTGTGGGTGTATCATAATTTATTCAACCAGTTCCGTTTATAATCTCCATAACGCTGTGCTAAACCTCCTAGCCCACGCATCTTTGCTCACGTGTCCCCAAGTTTCCTGAGGATGAGCTGTGTTCCTGTGGTTTTCTTTTTCCCTAGGCTCCCTTTACTGTATCCAGGGACCAGCAGAAAAGCACTTCTCTATCATCCTGTCAGCAAGGGACTATTCAGATCTTGTCTCTACCCCTAAACTGCTTGAAATTCCTTTTCAAGTAACATTGCGGTCTCGGAAGGTTCTTGGAGAACTGGAACACTGCCTGCTTACACCCCCTTATGAGTAGCAAGACCACCCCCCGAGAAAGGGGACTATGTCACCCCACTGCTGAGGAAAGCACAAAGTAAAATACAATGCAGGTGACCATGAAGGGCTATTAAACATAAGTTATTAGAACCTTTAGTTTGCCAAACTGACTCCAAGCAAGACGAGAGTGAGGCCATTTCTCTGTGTAGAAACCAGTTTCAATTAGAAAAAAAATGCCCTTCACTAAAATAATTATTTGGATAGACAACTAATTTGACAGTTCTTTAGCTGATTTTTTTTAAAGTGCTGACTGATCTCTGACTAAATGTTTCTTTGTCTCAATGCTCCCTAATGATGCAAGCCCTCACAAGGTTTACACTTTCTAGACAAGGCTGAGAACAAATCATGCTGCAATCACTCTCATATAGCACTTTGTCTTTTTTAAAGCTTGGTTTTAGTAATTTCCACACCCAACATAGGGCTCAGACTCACAACCCTGAGATCCAGAATCTCATGTTTCTGGGGCACTTGGGTAGCTCAGTAGGTTAAGCGTCTGACTTTGGCTCAGGTCATGATCTCACGGCTCATGGGTTCGAGCCCCGCAAAGGGCTCTGTGCTGACAGCTCGGAGCCTGCAGCCTGCTTGGGATTCTGTGTCTCCCTCTGTCTCTGCCCCTCCCCTGCTCACACTCTATCTCTCTCTCTTTCAAAAATAAATATGTAAAAAAACAAAAAAACAAAAAAACTCATGCTTCTCCAAATGAGCCAGCCAGATGCCCTTCATACAGCACTTTGTATTTTCAGGGACTTCTCACCTCAGTTGTCTCCCAGTCAACACTGAGGAGTAGGTAGAACTGATATTATTAACCTTTCCCTACAGATGATGATTATAAAAGATGCCATTTAGGGACGCCTAGGTGGCTCAGTCAGTTGAGAATCTGACTTGAGCTCAGGTCATGATCTCATGGTTCTTGAGTTTGAGCCCCGCATCGAGCTCTGTGCTGACAGATCAGAGCCTGAAGCCTGCTTCGGGTTCTATGTCTCCCTCTCTCTGCCCCTCCCCCACTCACGCTCTCTCTCTGCCTCTCAAAAATAAAGAAATGTAATTAAAAAAATTTATAAGAGATGCCATTTATGGAGTATGTACTATGTATCAAGCAATATGCTAAATGCATTGTGAATATTATGTAGTCCTCACAACTGCCCTGATAAAGCACATATTCTATTATTATCCCATTTTATAAATGGATAGATTTATGAATGATTAAATGACTTGATCATGGTCACATGACAGGAAAGAGGTCAAGCCAGAATTCCAAATCAATATTCAGGCCCCAGAAAGAGTCACTGACTCACTCAAGTTCACAGAGTTGTGGCCAAAATCCTGTTCCCTGGAGAGTGATTAAGAACAGGGCCTCTAAAATCAGATAGTCTGAGTTCAGACCCACTATCTGCCTTTTCCCAGATGTGTCCCCTTAGGCAAGGTACTAACCCACTCTGTGCCTCAGGTGCCCTACTTAGATATGGGCTAATAAGAATGTCTATCTCAAAGGTTAAAGAAGATGATCTACATCCAGCACTTAGCACATAGGGAGTGCTCAGTAATCAGTTAATAATGCTATACATACTTCTGTCCCTCCAATCTGTAAGCTAAGTACATATTTCACTGGTCTGTGCCACTGCAGGTGCCAAGAGCAAAGGCCTTATGCAACTACCGAGGGCAGAATCCCGGTGACCTGAGGTTTAATAAGGGAGATGTCATCCTTCTGCGGAGACAGCTGGATGAGAACTGGTACCAGGGGGAGATCAATGGAATCAGTGGGATCTTCCCAGCCAGCTCCGTGGAAGTCATCAAGCAGCTGCCCCAGCCACCCCCGCTCTGCCGGGCCCTCTACAATTTTGACCTACGAGACAAAGACAAGAGTGAGAGCCAGGACTGCCTGAGCTTCCTCAAGGTATAATTCTAGGTAGCCGTGGAGGTCACCAGCGACCACACAGATACTGTGCCACAACCTGGAGTTTTTAACACTTGCTAATTTTTAAAACATATATAGTTTACACAGAAATGTTTATATATGTGTGTGTGTGTGCATATGTATGTAAAGTATGTGTGTGTATAATTCAAAACTAAATGGAAGTTGCCAGAGAAATCTACTAAAGAGTTTGATGCAAATCCTTAAACCTTTTCTATTGCAATTACAAAAATAGGTATTCACACATTCATTCATTCATTCGTTCATTCATTCATTCTAGTCACTCTTGAACACCTCTTTGCAGGCCCTGGAGATGCAGCCTGAACAAGTCCCAGTCTCTGCCCATAGGCAGAGTAGTGGGACAGACAGATATGTGGACAACAGTTTACAAATACATTTTGACAGTGTGCTGTGCAAAACTACAAATCTTACCTCTTTACCCTTTTATCTAAGTACATTGTTGCTGACCAAGTTCTGAGCATCTAATTCTACTCTTTACAACATTCTATTTTATACTAAACATTGTATTCAAAACATTCCAAACACATTCAATAACATAATTATACCTTTATATATAACTAACCTCTTACAAGTTGTATTTTCCAAGCACATTAATTAAGATTTTTTTCTGCCTTTTTTTTATCAGATAATTCTTCTCATGTGCAAGTAACAACACTTCTACTAAAGTCTAGACTGCTTTAATTCTCTGTATTCGGTATTTATGATTCCTTAAACACTCAAATTCTCTCACAGAAGCCAAAGTTGAGGTGATTTTCACTCTTCGCTGCTTACGAGAAGTACATCAATACTAGAAGTGGCACTGGTATAGCAGCTCAGGAAAGGTCTTTTCTTTTGCAAAACATTTTTATTCCACCACTACCAGAAATGAGATTTGCTGCAGATTGCCTCAGTCTCGATATCCTCACTGTACCCCATATTTTGAAATACTGATCATTGTTACCTTGGCACCTCAGAGTGAGTCCTCTTTTTTTAAGTGTATTTATTTATTTTGTGAGAGAGAGGGAGACAGAGTGTACGCACACGCGCAGGAGATGGGCAGAGAGAGACAATCCCAGTCAGCGTGCCAGCCCAGTGAGGGGCTTGATTCCATGACCCATGAGATCAAGACCTGAGCCGAAATCAAGAGTCCGACACTCAACACTGAGCCCCCTCAGCATGAGCCCCTTAAGGAAGGCCATTCTGTAGCCCAAACTGCAAAGTCTGTGTTTCAATCACACTTACAGGAAGGGGAGTTCAATCCCACAGACATTTACTGAGTATTTACTTTGGGCCAGGCATTAAACACCGAGCCCTGGGGACACTGCCGGAAGAAGGCAGAGGCAGGAAGCGTCATCTTCCTTTTTTGCCCCTTTGTGGGACTTTGCAAACTGGGACACTTACTCCACCTGCTTGTTCATTCATTGAGCTCATCCATGTGCCAAGCTGCCTGCTGGATTAAAGTGATGAATCATTGTTCCTACCTTCAGAGAGCTGACAGACTAGTGGAAAGAACAGACATGGGAATGGAAAATTATGATAAAGGAACCAGAAGAGAAGATTTGATCCATTCTGGAAGCTATGAAAGGCTTAGGCTACACTAGGAAATTTCATGGTCTTCCTAAACTCAGCGTGTCCAAATTAAACCAAAAATCTTCCCTCCCAAAGCTGCTCTTTTCCTAGTGTTTTTCTATCTCAGTAAATTGTACAATTTACTCACACAGTGACTTATTCATGCATGCACACATTCATTTAGAAATTTATTGAATGACTACTAAATGGGAACCACTGTATCGGGTGCTAGGGACACAGAAAGGAACAGAACAGACACAGGCCCTGAACACATGGAGTTTATAGTCTGAGGGGGTAGACAGGCATTAAAGAAATCATAACCTATAAATGGATAATTGTAAATTGTGATAGGGGCAGAGAAAGGTAAGAAAAGGTATAATACAGTAATGACCTTAGATTCTGATTCATCTAAATTGCTGAGGGGCATGGATCAGAAGGCCAGAGCAATCAGTGGATGGATATTCAGATTTGGATTGATGAACATGTATGGATATGGAAAGGTGTTCCTGATATGGTATACAGTGAAAAGTGTGTCTTACATGACTCCTTTTGTATGAAATATAAGGAGAGGCAGAATGAGTGTATATGCTAGGAGTCAGAATAGTGCTTACTTCTTGCTAGGCAATGGGAAAGGGCACAAAGGAGCCTTGTGGGTGCTGGAAATGGTCTATATCTCTTGATCTGGATGGGGGTTTCGTGCGTATAGTTAGTGTTAACATTCATCAAGCTTTACATCTAAACTTTATGAACTTTATTGTATATATGTATGTATGTTTTCATCAAAGTTTTTAAAAATCAATGTATATATATGTATACTTGGGTATGTTTTATCCTCAGAGAGAAGACTCTGGCTGGGAAATGTGCTAATCAGGATGTTAACAATGAGTGTATATATACTGTGGTAAAATTCTTTGTTTTGCATACTATATTTTCAAATGTTTCTACAAATCTTCATATAACCTTTTTTAAATGTTTATTTATCTTGGAGAGGGGAGGGGCAGAGAGAGAAGGAGAGAGAGAACTACCCAAGCATCTGCTGTCAGCAGAAAGAGCTCAGTGCGGCCTCATCCTACAAACCGTAGACGGAGGATCGCCACCTGAGTCAAAATCAAGAGTTGGATGCTTAACCAAGTGAACCACCCAGGTACCCCTATAACCTTTTATAATAGGAAAATTTTGAATAAAAAGCCACCTCACATTTGATACATTAAAAATTGAATAGGTTCTGAAAATTCTTCAAAATTAGAGTGAAATTTATTCTTCCTTTTGCTAAGCTAAAGATCTCCCTGTGGCTCCCATATTGATTTCTCCATCTGATTAATATAAATGAAAGCTCAGAATCTGCTGGTGATTGAAAATTAGAAACATTTCCAAATTTTCTATTGGATTCCACTGGTCCTCCAAATTATTTCTACTCCTCCTGTGGTCTTGGTGGCCCAATACTTATGCCCTTTATGGAAGAAGATTTTACAAATAAATTATGAAAGAGTTACGTTTCTTGTACCTTACACCATCTGGGATTCCAAACTGCTCTCCACTAAAAGCTTTCACCACCTGAAAACTGAGAGCAAATGCTGACCATGAAACTTTCTCTCTTTCAGGACGATATCATCACCGTGATCAGCCGAGTGGATGAGAACTGGGCAGAAGGCAAGTTAGGAGATAAAGTCGGCATCTTCCCAATCTTGTTTGTAGAGGTACGTGAGTATCAAGTCTACATCTGATTCACACCCACTCAGAAGTATGTATGTGCCACCGGGATGCCTGAGAGAAATTCCTTTTTGATATGAGGCTTATTTCAGAAGTAACTAAAGTCTCCAAGGAAAAGATTCCAGAAGATAACATTCAGTTCTGGCAAGTATGTGGTGAAATGGACCTTTTTATTCTGATGGGAGTGTAAATAGTGCAGTGTCTCATACCCAAACTCAAAGAAACCCATGTCAATAACACTAAAAACCTACATCTCCTCTGATTCAGCAGTTGCATCAATCTGACAGTTTATTGTAAAGAAATATTCAAACAAGTACACAAAGATATATGTGTTCACCATGGCGTTGTGTGTAATGGTGAAAAGCCAGAAGTAATCTAAACATCCGACAATAAGGATTTCAGTTTTTTAAATTATGGTGAGGAAAAAATATATATACCCATTAAACATAATGTTAAAGAAAATTCAGTATTTTTGAGTATTTGGTATATTATCAAAAGACGTTTATGATTTGTTATTCAGTAAAGTTTAATGGGCATAGAGTTTCAGATTTAGAAGGTGAAGAAGTCCTAGAGATCTGTTTCACAACAATATGAACATAGTCAACACTGCTGAATTGTACACTTTACAATGGTTGTTACGGTAAATTTTCTGTTACATGTTTTTTGCCACAATTAACAAATGGAGCTATATTAAACTAGCTTCATAAATATGTGTGTATATAAATGGACAGGGAGTGGAACGATATGTACAAAACTGTTAACAGTGGTGATCACCAGATAGTGAGATTCTAGATAATTTTCACTTTCTTCTGCTGCCCTATATTTTGTAAATCTTCTGAAATAAGCATATATTACTTCTGGAGGTTTTTTAAGCTCCCTTAAAAAAGAAGAGCACATACTAGACCCTATCTGCCTGTTTCTCAAGTATAATACTATAACCTGGAGTTCCCAACCTCTCTAGCCTTGAGCCTCACCCTAGCTTGAGGCAGGTCATTACAAATTTAAGAGAGGCTTCATTGTTTAACTGCATTAATTGGATGCTTACCAGGCACAAAGCATTAAAAGTGAGCACGGCGGAGCTATGAAAGAAGGAAAAGGCATGTTTTCCACCCTCTAGGAAGGCAGGGTGAAAATAGAATGGGGCAGAGTTGGAGAAAAAGGGCCAGTTCTTTCATTCATAAGAGCCAAAGCAGGTTCTAAGCTTTCAAGGTTCTCTATAGCTCTTCTAACTTGATGCTGAAGGGATGAAAAATGGAAGGGAAGGATAGAGGAAGGGTCCAGAGAGTCTGGTCATCTTACCATCTCTAGTCAACAGTATTCTCATTACCAGTCCTTTTATCTTGCTGAGGCCCCTTTCAGGCAAACACACCCAATTCTCTCTACTTGTTCAAATTTCACTCATTTTACAAGGCTCAACTAGAAACCTGCTTTCTCCATAAAATTTCTAACCACTAGTTGAACACTCAGTTGTCTCTTTCTTCTCCAAACACCTGAGGGGTGTATTGCTTATTCCCCACAGGCTAGCCTGACACAGAAAGGCTCTCTGTAAAAAAAAAAAAAAAAAAAAA